CAGGCTGGGGCTCCAGGCTGGCACAGGAAGGGCGGTGCCGGATTTATGGCCAAAATTTCACCTTCACCAGGGGCGGCACAGGGAGCTCGGCGAGCTGGGGACTCTCGGGGAGGGGACAGCCCTGTCCCTGTCCCTGCACTGCTGGCAGGGTGGAGAAGGGCTCTGTTGCTCAATTCCCTGCTCTGTTGAAAGCCGGGCGAGGTGGGGGATGTGCCCCGCGGGTTTGCCCCGAGCTGATGCTGCTTTGTCCCCTYCCAGCCGCGAGTTTGGCCACAGCTGGGAGGATCCAGACCCCCCCCTTTTGGGCGATCCCCTCGGGGAGAAGCCGGGGCTGTGACTAAAAAGCAGCTCTGTAAAATTCACCCGAAGGGGGTGTCGTTCCCCCTTTGCTGCTGTGACRCATCCCGCTCCTTTTCCATGCCTGCTCCAACTTGGAGAGCACCCAGAGATGGAAATTCCTGCTGYCAAACCCCCAGGGATTTGTGCCAACTCCACATTCTGGAGAGGGGGAAGGAGGACCAGGTGTGATGGGTGCCAAGGAGGGAACCCGAGAGCATTTCTGTGCAAGTGGAGCATGTTTTTTTTCTATAAAATTTACGTTTTTTATCTCCTTGGCCCCTCTGTACCAGCATGAGGCTGTGTGGGGGGTATTTTCCACTCTGAGTGACAAAGACAACTCCGAGCTGCCTCAAAAACGGGGCAGAGCCACCAGGGTGGGTGACAGGGTGCGTGGGTGACAGCGGTGGTGGCAGCAGGATGCTGTGGGTGACAGCAGCCACTCACAAACACCCTGAGCCCTSATCTGCAGCTCGGGGAGGAAATGGCTGAGGTGCCTCAGCTCTGCAGCGGTTCCTGGGCCGGCAGGGTGGCTCAGGGGCAGGGGGTACCGGGGCACGGGCATCTCCCTGGGCAGGATGCAGGGGGTGACTGCGGCTCTTGTCCCCACACAGCAACGGCCCTGGCAGCTCTGGGGCACCTCGGTGACCCCAAACTCCTCCAGGGGACACTGCACAAGTGCCAAAGCCACAGGAGGCCCCTGCAGGGACTCGGCAGCCCTGGGTTTGGTGTCCCCAGGGGTCACGGTGGTCACGGTGCCCGTGGGACGCGCCTGGCACCCCGGGTGCCCCGGCAGGAGCTGGCCCCAGCTCTCCCAGCTGCTGGCGGTTGTTTTCAGCCCCCCTGTCCCTTCCAGCCCGCAGGAGGATTTTGTTCRTGGTGTCGCTGCCCTCCGAGTGCCGATGGGCTGAGTAAGAGCSGGGCTCGGGCGCCTCCTGCGCTCTCCATCGGGCTCACCCTGCTCGGGGCCGTCAGCAGCTCCACCCTTGGCGACTGGGCACTGTTTGGCGAAATTATCTTTCGAGATAAGCTTTTTGTTTTCCTTTT